AGCGAATATCCAAATTTATAAACGTCACAGCTACTACTAATGAAGCTGTGGCAGCCGCTACTAATACTGCTACAACGACTACTACTACTACTAATAATAATAATAATAATAATATTGACAAAAGAAGCAAAAACAAAACAAAAAACAATCAAAATATACTAAAGTTAAGATGGTATTACAATTAATATGACTATTACTGATGGTTATAAGTTGATAAGTGAGGAAGAGCAAACAAAAAAATTCTGTGTCAGTATATGTCTGTGTGTGTTTGTGCGTGCGTGCGTGTGCGCGCGTGTGTATTTGTGTTTGATGTGTGCGTGTGTTTGCGTATGTGTGTGTGTGTGTGAAAGGAGAGAGAGAGAGAGAGAGAGAGAGAGAGAGAGAGAAAGACGGAAAGAAAGACTGCCTGTAGAAAAGTAGGTAGAAAAAGAGATAGTGCACAATTGCTTGCGCATTGAATGCTGATAATTGAAACAAAAATAAACAAAGAAAAATAAGAATAAATAAACGAAAAAAAAATCAAACAGAAATACTAAAACGTAATATATAAAGTTTAAAAAAATTGCAAAAATTTTACAAAAGCAAAAAAAAACAGTGACTCAGTGCGAACTAGAATTTGATTCTAAATCCATGATATCAAATGATCTTCTTCCTTCTCGGGCTTCATCCTTTCAGGACATTGGCGACCATCGACCTTTACAAAACCCGATCTTTAACATTTTGTAAGAGTTGGAATGTGTTGGTGATATTCAACAAGTGGCACAAGGACTTCACGAATGTTATTCATTGTTGACCGCGATCTCTTTTCCAGTAGTTGTTAGATTTTCCATAATTTCCTTCCGCATGATGTGACCAACAAACTTTGACTGCCCCCGTCGGATTATCTGTAGTAATTTTCTCTTTTAAAAATCGGACCGTTTTAATACATCCTAATTCGAAGTATGAGAGGTCCAACTAATTTTCATAATTCTTCTCTAAAACCACATCTCAGCAGCGTTAATCTTTTTTTTCCATTTCTTTAAAAATTGTTTTAGACTTAGAGCCGTAAATTAGCACAGAAAAAATGTAACACCCTACCAGTTTTAATTTTGTTGATATTCTGATTTTGCTGTTGGTGAGGATGTTTTTCATTTTAGAATATGCATCTTTCGCCATAGCTATCCTTCTTTTGATATACATATCACATTTGCAAGATGGGGAAATCAGATTTCCGAGATAATTGAAGCTGTTGACTTGATTCACCTGTTTACTATCAATGATTATAGAGCAGATCGGGGCGGTTTTGCTTTTTCTGGTAACCATGCACCCTGTTTTGTTGATGGTAAATTTGAAGTCTTCCCTTTCACTTTCAAAAACCAGTTTATAAATCAATCGTTTGCAGTTCTTCCATTGAATTTTGCTAAAAGAATTGAATCTGGTACAAGAGCTGTAACAACATCAGCATATATTACATTGTTAATATTCACGCCACTAACGGATATTCTAGGTAGATCTTTTATCTTTCTCATGATGATCTCACTTTAGAGATTGTACCGGTCTGGAGAAAGTACAGAGCCTTGCCAAACACTTTTCCTTATTTCGACAAAACTAGTCATCTTGTTGCCAACTTTCATCGCTGCTCTTTGTTCCCAATAGAGGTTTTCGATAACTCTCGTGTCTTTTAAATGTATCAAATGTATTATCAATATATACCTACACACACATATACAAATAAACACACACATACACGCACACAAACACGCATAACTTATATAAACTTAATTCCTGTCATTATCATCATCAACATAGTGAACATAATCCTTATCATCAAGTATATATGAAAAAAAATAACTGACAAGCAATAAAATTAATTAGGCAACAAAATAACAACAACAACAACAAACAACAACAAACAAAAAACAACAATAAGACGAGTACAAAAACAAATTAATTAATCTGTCAAAACATGTACCTTTACATGCAAGGTAAAAAAATGCGTTTTCATACATCATATACATATACATAAACGCTCGCACGCACACACTCACACACACACGCACACACAAACACTCACTCACACACACGCACGCATACGCACATAGTTTTCCTTGAAAAATTCAATATAATAACATAGACAGACTATTGAAACAAAATGAATTTTTTTTTTATTTTTTATCCGTTTATTTTTCAAACATTAAAAAATAATTTTGAAAAAAAGGGTCCAGCATAACCACGAGTGTTTTTTTTTCAGCCAACCCCAAAAACATCCAATTCCATACATTTAAAGTCACATATTCAATCGATCACACATAAAAAAGTAATAACGGAAATAGTTATGACCAAACATTATTTGGCTGTTAATAATATAATAGTAATTTCCAATTGTATATCTCATAGACAAACATTCAAACACAACACCCATGCGCACACATCTAAGCACAAAACCCAATCAAGAAAATGTATAAAACAAAAGTAACTATATGAAAAAAATTATAAAACATTATGACAAACATATGAAATAGGTCTTTAATTGAATTTTGAAATCATTATAATTTGTCAAAGCCCTCAAATAAAATGGCAGTCCATTCCAAACTAACGGCGCATAATAGAAAAACTGACGAGCACTAATTTTATTCAATATTAAATTTGTTTTAATTAAAAGTTTATCATTAGATCGGGTGTTTGAAATTCTATTGTATTCAATTAAATTTATGTGTTTATTTAGTTTATTATTTTCATGAATAATTCTAAAAATTAATAAACATGTTTTATATTTATTTACTTCATAAACAGCCATAATTTGGTTATCAAAAAATATATTTTTATTTATGGAACCGTTGAAATAATCATTTGAGAACAATGATTTGACGTATCTTTTTTGTATTAAATATAAATTATTTAGTTCTGTTTTATTTGCATTCCCCCAAACTAAATTACAATAATAAAGGTAGGGAAAAATAGTTGAGTTATATAAAATTTTCTTAATGTTCTTATTTAAAAAAGGTTTAATTTTTAGAAAAAAAAGTAAATTGATGGGTGTGTTATTGTTTCTGAAATATCAGTGTGAACCTGTTTGTGTCTGTGTGTATTTCTCTGTGTGTGTGTGTGTTTATGTATGTGTGTAAGCATGTGTGTGTATGTTTGTGCACGTGTATGAGTGTGTGTGTGTGTGTGTGTGTTTGGTGTGAGTCTGTGAAAAATGAATGGATGAAATGATAGATAAAAAATAAATAGACAAAAAACGGGATATGGATAGTAAGATAAATAGACAGATGGATAACTAGATGGATGAATGAATAAACGAATGAATGAACGATGGACGGAAGGAAGGTTGAGAAGAGAGAGTACGATAAATTGCACTATAAGCTATAGGGTAATAAATGCTGAAATAGAACTTGACGATGAGATAATTAAGTGTAAAACTTAATCCCAAAGGCATCAGCTCATGAATACATACAAAAAAAGAACTCACACAAAAAATAGATACACACACACACACCCACACACACACGCACAAACAAATACACATATACATACAAACACATAAATACATATATATACATACACATACACACATATATATATATTTACGTAACACACAGCCATACATTGCAAAAAATTTTCACAAACACATTGCAGGTGTTTGCAGTTTTTGTTGCCATCATCATCGTTATCATCATCCTCATCATTACCACAATCATCATCATTATCGTGATCAACATTTTAGTAATAATAACAACAACAACGCAAACAAAAAAATTGCAAAAACATAAAACAACAAAGACACAAAATAAAAATGGCAAAAGAACACAAAGACAGAAAAATAAAAAAGAGTGACTAGTGCCAAATTGGCAGACGCACACCTAATACATCCTAATACATCACCCCATATGATCAAGCACTTTCTGTTATTACGTTTATTCTCATTCAATTTGTTTCTTTGACTTGCAACAAAAACATCAACAACAACAACATCAACAACAGCAACAACAACAACGACTACAACATAAACAATAACATCAACAACAAAATCAACAACAACGACAACAACAACATCAACAATAACATCAACAACAACATCAACAACAACAGCAACAACAACGACGACAACAACATCAACAATAACATCAACAACAACATCAACAACGACAACAACTACAACAGCAACATCACTAACAACAACATATAAATAAATCTATGTAACTACAGACAGCCGATAGACATAAACACCAAAAACAAAGACCAAACAGTGAACGTAGAAATGCATCAACGACAATAGCAACACTAATAACATCAACAGCAATTATAACATAGACAACAAAGGAATAGATAAAAAAAACAAAAAAACATAGATAATAAACATCGTAAAATTAATCGCATAAAACACCACGGTTAATTCCATTTCTCTAGCATAGATAAAAAAACTGTTTCCAATTTGTTTTAGAGGAATAAATAAATTTTTTTTTTCGATCCGTTTTTGTCTTGAAACATTTTTTTTTAAATTTAGGTTGTATTATTTTTTTGTATATTTTTTTGTATATTTTGCTGTTTTTTTTGGTGTTTATCCGTTTTTATTTTCGTCTTCTTTATATTGATAAATGATGTCTTTCGCGTATGTAATTAATTCACTTTTAGGTAATTAATCTATCAACAGATGTAAATAACTGCATCATTCGTTCGTCCATTCATTCATTCATTCATTCATTCATTCATTCATTCATTCATTCATTCATCCATTCATTCGTTCATTCATTCATTCATTCATTCATTCATTCATGCGTTTACTCATCATTGATCGTTGATTCTTTCATTCAATCTTTCATTCCTTCATTTGTTCATTTATTTATTCCTTATTTTTCCATTAATTCACAAATTTAACTCATCAAACATTCAACCCTCATTGCATCATTAATTCTCTCTCCCTCTCTCTCTCTCTCTCTCTGTTCCCTAATAATGTAAAAATTATGATCACAACTAATAATAATAATATTAATATGAATAATAATAATAATAAACACACCTAGGGCTTGGCCTTCAAGAAATTTGATGCCCTCCACTTCGTCGCCCTCCTGCGCCCTCAGGTTCATCAGCAGGTGTCTGTAACGATAATGGGAACATCTTTTTATTTTTCACCATAAAAAAACAGACAATGATAAATATATATACATATATAAGTTAATGTTAATTAAATAATGCGCAATGATAAAATTTTTAAAAATGGTATAAAATAATATTAAAGGTTAAGACCATTTTGCTCATTGTGAAGTTAAGTGCAAAACGGTGAATTATATTTAATTAGCATCATAGCTTGTTCCTGTCACAGTAATAATAATAATAATAACGCGAACAGATCTTTTATTTTTCATCAAATGCGTAAAATCAATAATTAATTAATTAATAGAGAAAAAGTCATGATTAAAATAAAATCATAATCATCATAGTAATGATAATAATGATGATGATGATAATAATAATAATAATAATAATAGTAACGGTCAGTTCTACAACGAAACACACAATAACTAGGTAGACAACAAGAAACAGACATTTGGATGGCTATACGGCTCTGGACTCAAAGGTGAAACACAAAGTCTTCTTATAGCAGCTCAAGATCGGGCACTAAATACACGATACCATCATTAACGTATTCTTAACATGAATGTCGCTAATTTAGCTAAACAAAGTGTTCCTAACTAGTCAAATATGACAATTGATATGATATATGATATTATGTTTTGGTTTTATATTTTGGTTTTATATTTAAGGTAATTCTAATTTATTTAATTCATTTTATTTTAATTTCTTTCTTTTCGAGATAAATTTTTTTCTTTCTCGTTGCAACAGGTTTAATTTTATGCATATGTTTTTTAATTCTAAAATTTTGTAACAATACTAATTAGTTTTTAAAAATTGATAATGACGTTTGACAACATTAATGTGTTTTATTATTTTTTGTGGGGTTCCTTGTTATTTGGAATTTTGGTTTCTTTTGGAATCCTTTTTCATGTGTTTTCATGAAATAAACTTGTTTAAAAAAAAATAAAAAAAAACATAACGAAAATTAACACCAATACATAACACAAATGGATGAAAAAAGAACCCATAAAGGTACCTGATTATACTCTGCCTCTCTTCACTGTTTAGGAAGCAGCGAACGTTATCGAGAGCTCCTTCGAAAAATTCTCTGTCATCGTATACAAACTCCTTGAATCCGCCGCCGAACTCCGACTTCACGGGCTTCTTGATAGCAAGTTCGTCGGCTCCTTTCAATAAACTAACATCACGGGAGGAAATTGATTTCAGTTTTTGGATTTTTTAAAAATTATTACTATTTTAGCGTGAAATTCTTAATCAAAATTACGCAAAATTGCTGAGGTGGCTAATGACAATGATGGCTAACGACGATGATGATGAACAATAATGACGATGATGACGGCTATTATAATGATGATGATGACGATAATCATGATAATGATGATGACGATAATCATGATAATGATGGTGATAAAATCACAATCAAATGTAGATCTAAAAATAAGCTGCTAACAGGCAGACAAAAGCAAACGAACAAGAAATATTTTATAAAAGACATCACCACCATCAGCAGCAGCAGCCTCATTACAATTGCCACCACTCAACAACCAACTTCTCGTTAGTGGCTGTCAGGTAGAAGCCAAACTCGTTCATCTTGTTGTGGTGCCTCAGGTGCAGCACCAGCTCAGGAACACGCGCCCGCAGTCGCGTCACCAGCCACATTATGACGTCATCGTTCGTCGTGTCTGGCAGTGTCATCAGAACGTCACAATTCCGCGACGGTATCGTCTCGGTGAAAACTTTTGAGCAGACGACAAATTTTGAGGTTATGGCGAATTTGTTTGACAGAAATTTCTCACGGTCTTTTTGGGTTTTTTTGGTGGCAAAGATTTTTTTTTGAAAAAAATTAAAAAAAATTTGGCATTTAGTTTCTATATATTTTTTGCAACTTTAATTAAATTTTAAAAAATATTTCGAAAACATTTTAAAACTTGTTTTGAATTTGTATTTTTTTTGGTAAATGATTAGTGAGAACTTAGTAAGATTTCTAAGGAAGATCTTTTAGGTTTTCAAAAATTAAAATTAAAAATTTTTGTCTTTTGTTAGGACAGAAATTAGTTTTTGGAACGCAATTTTGAATCAAGTGAACAAAAGAATCCATCAAAAATGGAAACAACGGCAAATTAAAACCCGTTTTTGGAAATTAATAAAAAAACCAATCACAAACTTTTTGCAGTCATTTTTCAACTGAAAATAAAATCATGCCAAACTGAACAGTTTTTGAAAACTAAAAAATTAATTAAAAGTAAAATTAGGTTAACAAAACTTTCAAAAAAAAAACCTCAAACAAACCAAAACATAACCCAACCAAACCTTAATGAGATAATAAAGTCGTTATTAATGAAATTAATTAACAAATTCAAACCAATTAATCCAATTAAATCAGATACTAGAAACAATAAAAATTTTGTTAGATGTAAATTTTATAGTGTAAAAAAAATTAGTATGTTAGTAATTTGTTAACATTATTATGTTGTGTATACATACATATAAATAATGTTATTTGTTCCAAACCTAAATTAGTTAATATTTTAATAACTATTTTATTTGTTTAAAATATGAAAAGTTATATAAGAAAATAATTAAGAATGATAATAAAATGATCATCATACTATATCATCATCATCATTACCATCATCATCATCATCATAATCAGTTACATTAATAGATATACTTTAGTAATCATCTCATTAAAAAATTATAACGTCATTATCATCCTCATTATCTTCATCATATCATTCTCATGTCATGAATGATCATCATCACATCGTGTCACAATCAAAAATATGAATTATAGGTGATAATAGGTCATAATAATAAAAAAAAAATTATAACGTCATTATCATCCTCATTATCTTCATCATATCATTCTCATGTCATGAATGATCATCATCACATCGTGTCACAATCAAAAATATGAATTATAGGTGATAATAGGTCATAATAATTTACTCATTCATCATCATCATCACCACATCATCATCATCACCCCATACATGATTTAGCCCGCTGCCTCAGTCCTCCAACCCACGATGACTTCGGAGGTCCAGCGAAATTTTGTATTTTGTCCTTCAATAATTTTGCATCATCCCTATCTTCCTCGTCGTCTTCCTCCTCGTCGTCATTATTCTCATCTTTCCTAATTCGGTTTTCATTCTCAGGAAAGTTTTGTTGGGACATTTTATTTTATTTAAATATTTTACTATTAATTGTTAAACTATTTATTAGTAATTTAATTTCAATTTTTTAAATTAATGCCAATTTTTAATAATTGCAGCTACATTGCAAACTTATCTGTATTTCATATAGTAAAAAAAGTAAATTTAGTTAAAAAATTTAATTAAATTGGGCTCTGATATGATTTCAATCTAGTTCTTAAACTTAAACTTTACCGCAATCATTTCGCATTAACACAATTCTTTTGTGATGCAAAATTATTTAGTTTGAATAAATCAACTTTTCTTATTTTTTCTTAATTTATCAAAGGACCAATTAATTACAGATCTGATATCTATAGCGAAAAAAAACAATGCAGAATTTTTTAATCTTGCACTTTTAGTTTTTTATGTTTATAAACAAACATTTTAGGGATGCTCGATAATTTGAAAAAAATATTTCTCCCTTTATTTCATTAAATTATCATAAGAAACTAATTACGTGAATTTTTCGTTATTTTGCGGAAAAAACTTTTTAGAAAAATTTTGTTTTCTAAGAATTTCAATTTTCCAAAGCTTTAATTATTAAACTACTAAAAATATGAAGATAATTTCAAATAATTTCATCTCAAAAACATCGTTGGAATTTTTTCAAGTGTTTCCTTAAAATTTGCAAATTAAGCAGCTGAGATTTCAACAGTTAGGTAGAAAAATTTAATAAACAACGTCCAACGAAACTCCAGAAACAAATTTGAAACAATAAATGGAGAAAAAACAACAAAATAAACAATCAAAAAGCAAAATAAATATGAAAAATATACACAAATATTTCGTCCGTCAAACGTTTTCGCTCCAGTGGATGTGATGTGGACGTGTGACGTAACGTAATTTCATTTATCAGAAGTTCAAACATCTATGCACGTCAGATGAAAGATTGATGATTGGCAGGCGGCCGCCAGATCGGTACAATACGATAAACGTATCGGTACAGTGCGATACACATATCGGTACAGTGCGATACATATATCGGTACAGTGCGATACATATATCGGTACAGTGCGATACATATATATCGGTACGATATATCGATACATTATGCGTCATATACATACGTAAATATCGGCACATTACATATCGGTACATATATCGATACAATATGATGTCCAAACATATCGACACTTTCCGATACACATACCGATACACGATACAACGATACGTGTTAAAAGAACGCAATACAATACAAAACGAACATATCGATACATACGGTGGACACAATGCAATGAACAAGCTCGCTAACTCACTACTGCCCCAGCATGTCAAATTCTATTTGCGTAAGAACATTTATGTCAAATATTATGTCATATATGCAAACACATATTTCACACACACATTTGTATATATACAAATATATACAAACGCACGCACACATGCATTTACACGATGTTAATTTCATTGGCCATTTTCGTCGTTTGCCTTCTTCGTACAAAATTCAGAAGAATCATTCATTTTTAACGCTCTACGATTACTGCTAATTCTCATTGAAGTTACTACATCTACCACTACTGCTGCTACTACTTCAACTGCAAATGATGATGGCGTCTTTTGTAACTATTACTACTGCGGATATTAGTTTTGCCACACCACTACCACCACCACCACTACTACTACTACTACTACTACTACTGCTACTACTACTACTACCACTACTACTACTAGCATTACTATTTATGATAATAATAATATTAATAATAATACTGTAATTACAACAATTT